ACACTCCTCCAAAGACCTCCGCCGCTATAAGATCGACATCTTCGGCCTTCAGGAAACCGGACTCGCCTTGCTGGACAAGAAGCTGATCGGGAAGTGCACGCTCCTCACACTTCCAGCCACAGAAGAACGGCATGGCGTTGGGTTCGCCGTTCTCCTCACCTACGCCCATACCTCCACAGGTACTGGGCACACAGCGACGGAATCGGAATCCTACAACTACTCATGCCCAAGACAGGCTGCACCACCGCCATCTTCGTGTACGCCCCTCACAGTGGACACTCCCTTGAGGCCATTGATAAATGCTATGCTGAACTTGGTGAAGCCCTCAATGGACTCGCCCGACGTAATATCACTATCATCACTAGAGATTTCAACGCTAAACTTGGACGCCGCGTACCTGGCGAACCCTTCGTGGGCCTCCACGGACGCGGCTGCCGTAACCGCAACGGCCATGCTCTTGCTGACTTTTGTTATTCTCACTATCTTTACGAATACGGATTTCCAAAAACGCGCAAGACACAGAACGACATGGAGCCAACGCCAGACGACAGACAGCCTATTCAACCAAATCGACTACATCCTCTGCCGGCAATCCTGCCAAAAGTTCTGCATGAATGCGAGATCATGAGGAGGCACAATCACGACGTTGGATCACAAGCTTGTCTCTGCGGATTTCATCTTTGAACACGTGCATCGCCTTCGGTTTCGAACAAGACCACGATTACCTTCACGGCTGACACTGACCCGCGAACGCCTCATCCACAAAGATGAGACCCAATTCCAGCACATCCAGGCGCTACACGACGCAATTACCGACCCCAGCTCCTCTGACGCTATACCAATTGCTCCGCAATGGTCTTCACTGTTCTACCGCGTCAAAGAGACCGCGAAAACCCTCATCGGCTACCGCACCTGTCCAACAATGCAAGCGCGCTACGAGGACCCAGTCATAGCTGGCCTCTCCGCACACCAACGTGATCTCCAACTACGGATCTACAATGATATGAAGGCGAATACCTACGCTCTACGACGAGAGCGCAACGCAATCCTGCATCAAATTCAATTTCGTTGCAGAGACCTCGCAACCGAAAGTACCGACGACAAGATCAAGCGGATTGAAGGTTTGAGCTCCACAGCTCAAGTGCATGAAGCGGTCCGCGATACGATCCGAACACGAGTGCAACCGATCATGCTACATGACGCCAAAGGTAAGTATATCCTGGACCGGAAACCCACTAACTCTCTCATTTGCAACCACTTTCAAGAGCAATTTCTTATTAATACGCGGTCCCCCATCGACATCGCCACGACAGCACGACCCCTGGAACATCCGATCACAGCTGACGAGTTTCGTTTCGCGCTTAAACAGCTCAGTAACGGCTGATCATCAGGGCCAGACGACATCCCCGCTGAACTACTCAATATGGCGCAGACGCTCTCACCCTCAAACTCGCATCACTTGTCAACGACTGTTTTGCAATAGGTGTATCCCTCGAACTCGATGAAGGCATCCTGTTGTACTTACCCAAACCAAACAAACTCCTAGGGGAATGCTCAAGTCTTCTGCCTATTGTTCTTCTCAACAGCATCCGGAAAGCCATCTCGCTCTCGTACTTGAGCGCATCACTCCTGCAGTCAACAAATATATTTACTAATGTGGATTCCGGAAACATCGTAGCACTGCAGATGCAATGTGGATTCATCGTTGTTTATGCGCCTGAGTACAAAACTTCCGCAAACACATACACGTTCTCGGCATCGTCCTGTCCAGGTCGTTCGATACAATAGACAGACAAAAGCTGCTCGACGTTCTTGAAAGCTTCCTACCCGAAGATGGAGTCCGGCTGATACAACTACTACTGCACAAAACCACGTTCTCTCTTCGAACACTACCCTCGAAAGCAACACGGGGACACCCTTAGACGACTCACTCTCACCTGTTTTGTTTGTGATTTATTTAGTAGCAAAATTACGAGAAGTAGCTAGCAAAGTCGACAAACCCCACGACCTACTAAAGCAAAAGGTAGTCTACGCGGACGATGCCGACTTCACCTGCAGAGACCCCACGGCCATGACGACAATCAATTCTCGAACGAGCCCCAAAACTCCTCGCCCGCTGGCCACTCAAGATGAACATATCCAAGACGGAATCCACACTGCTGCAGCGTCATATACGGCCATCCGAGGCAAATCGATTCTCTCGAGCAACCGAAAAAACGTGGCGCTCAACTCGGAAACTCGGTTCCCTACTCGAAGACACAGAAGATCTCACCCGGCGCAAAATACTAGCTGCAGAGGCGCTACGACGACTCTGGGCCCTCTGGCTCCTTCCCCACTACACGACTAACAAGACACGCATCCGGCTCTACAACTACTACGTCCTTCCGATCCTGCTCTACAATTGCGGGATATGGGCGCTGACTACCACGGATCTCTAGGAGCGAAGTACGCTTTCATCTGGAGATACGCCGGAATGTCTGGTCGTCGAAGATTGTGGTCAAACAGCGTCCATCGGACTGTCGTGATTCAGTGTCGTAGTAGGCGTTCCTCGCAGATCTCGTAGACCGTCGCATTGGAAATGCGGCGCGGGAAACGAATGTTGAGAACTCTTCGGAGTTGGCGGGGATGAAAGATTTCCAGATGGTGCATATTGAGCTTTCATCAAACTCAACAGTTTGCATAGAACGAAATCTGAAGAAAAAAACGTCTTGGAACAATAGCAGGAACATGTTTCCCCGCTCCTACTTAGGCAGATGCGTTACAAAGTCCATGAACAACACCTCGAACTGATAGTTCGGCTCAATGTTATCAGGTGAGGGCCCGAGGTTTAGAGGTGATCTTTTCGCTGACGCGCATTCGATGCACTCATTCTCGAATCGCTCCACATCTGCATACATACCTGGCCAGAGAAACTCTCGGCGCAGACGCTCATGCGTCCTCGTCACTCCGTGGTGTCTACGTTGAAGTGCTTCATGACGGTGTTGTATCAAACCTTGTCGTAAATCCTGCGGGACAACTAGTCTGAGCTCATCGCCCATAGCTCTTGGACGGGATGGCGCTGGTCTTAATATAGAGCATTCCAAGAATCCAAAATGTAGTTGTACGAAATTTGGCCATTTGTTGTGACTCCACTTGGCAAAGTTCGCCGAGATCTCCACGTAAAAACGTTTTCCGTTTAACCATCCAACTGGGACTGTCTTGATGTGCCTTGATTCGGTGCCAGCGTTCAACTTGGTATTCCAAAGGGTTAAGCCTGGAGCCTCTGATCTTCCTCTTACCCTTCCTCTTGAGTTGCTGTTCGAGATCTACTGCGAAGAGCAGCCGCAAAGATGCGTGCGTTTATTGGCAACGCGCCAAAGTCCGAATCAGGATACTCATCGACAATGGCTTGGAGAACTTGCTGTGTAGCGTTCCCGCTCAACAGTCCGACCTCCGGTGACTCACCTTTTCGTACCGGTTTCTTGGGAATCCTGTTGATCTGCTTCTAATGAGTGAGCTCTAAGGGATCATTAATCTCCACTGACTCACCAGCGGTCAGCCGCCGAGTGGTAAGGTAATCTGCAGCTTGATTATACTCGCGCTTCACGTGGACCAGGCGAACTAGGCGGAACTTCTGTTCGAGTGCCTCGAACTGGGCCAGCCGGCTCTGCAGGCTGATCTGATTACAGCTGATTAGCCCTTGAGCTTGCTGCATGGCGATTCTTGAATCGCCCACCGCGACTAAGTCATAGCCACCTTGCTCCAACGCCATCGTGATACCTCTAATCATCCCACCATACTCAGCGTCATCCACTGTCACATCGTCTCAGAAAAACCCATGCGTACCAGCCACTCTCCACTCTGGGAGTTTCCAAAAGATCAAACCACAACTACCTCTTCTGTCTAATGTTTTATGCAGCCCCATCAAACTGACTAGATATCCTGAGTAGGCAACCTCTAACATTTCCAGGCTGTTTGGTGGCACCGGGATGACTCGTCCTTTGCTCGGGGTCCGTGACTCTGCCACTTGATCGAGCTTCTCCCTCGGAGTAATACCGGCTCCCATAATGGCAGCTAAGGCACCCTCATCTTTCTCGATCTGATGTACCTCCAGGTCCCACGGACCAGCGTGGGCATCGTCTTTCAAGTGACGAAGGCGCATATATCCAGCGTAAAACGGAGTTACGGGCGTAGACCTTGAGGTGACGCTCCGAGATCAGATTGTAGAACACTCGTAGTATCCGCCATAGCGCTACCACTTCCTTTTCGGCCGGGTAATACCTGAGTTCCGAGTCATTCAATGTCTTACCGGTGTAGCGGATTAGTAGGATTGATCCATCATGCTCTTGTCTAAGGACGACGCAAGCCGCCCACGGTTAGCATGAAGAGTTATCTCGAAGTACTTGGTGTGATCCGGATATCGAAGTAACGGCATTAAGACGATATTCTTCTTCAAAATTTCAAACGTTTCATTGGCTCGCTCCAAGTTACGGCTGTCTCGTACTTGTTCCTCGGTTAGCTCATAGAGCTAATCTATAAGCGTTAACTCATAGGGATAGCCGAGGATAACCAATCTGCGAGTTAACCCATAGGCTAATAGGAACAAATGTGAGAAGACCGTGACTTGGTGCGAGCCAACGAAGCCCACCCGTCGATTCTAGCTCAGTCGCACCAGCCGTTGTGACTTGCGTGGCCGTGTCTGCGCTTGATTTAGAACAAGGGCTTACACTAACGCAGCGACATGTACACTCAACACGCTCACATCGGACCAAAGAACATTTATTTCTTGTACCACCGACATTGCTGCACTCCAAATCATCAACATTGCTACTAGCGCACCCATCACAGCCGTCCGCGCTGGCGCGAAATGAATGAAGCCAATCTGCACCACCGCGTGACTTTGGACAAACTCGCTTGCGACTTGGATCACTGTAAGCTGACGTGGAGGCAGTAGAGGCAGCGTCTGCACTAATACACGCATAGATTTATAATTCGCATCACACCGTGTTTTAAAACGATGAGAGTTGATTCTCTACTTTTACTATCAAGAAGACCACGAAGGCCTTTTTATTCGAAGTCTTCTGGCCTTGAAACGTTTATGGATCTGTACCTATTGTCCCAATTTTCGTCTGTGAAACCAATTCGAACCTTTCACTTCCGTTCCTTTGAGCCTTGTCGGAGTTACGGTGCTACGATGGCTTCATTGTGGCTACAACTTGCACTACATACTACAATGGCTACATCTTGTCACCGTTGATGCCTAACCTTACGTCCAATGCCCACAGGAATACTGGCAGCTACCGGTTATTCTTTCTTATTTACAGTACGTCTGATGCCCACAAAAATATCGGTATGTATTTGCACTTACGCTTACATGGTTCTTGTGCTAAACGACTAGACGACAGTTTGAAACAAACTGCGAACATTTTGTGCAGACTACCTTCCGGATGCAGCGTGCATGCTTCAACAATCGTGGCACCTTGTCATCGGGCGGAAACGCATAGCTTGCTGAGTGAACTAGCAAGCTCGCGAATGCAGTTGTGTAGCTCTCCATGCCAAAATTGAGCGTCTAACACGGAAGTGGAAGTCGCATACTAACAGCATCTTCATCAATGACGTAGATGGCGGCAACAAATCGAAGCTAGTCCCAGCAAAGTTTGCAATAGTTAATTGATTGTCGAAGGCTATCTCGCCTAATCAATGGACAGTATGAAACTATACTCGATTACATTTAGTGACACACTTCATTTATGAAGTATTTAAGTACATTTTAACGAGAATAATACGACTTAATAGGGGGACGAACTTTCAAATATATTCAAAAATGAAAGCAGAGACGTAAGCAGAGGAGTGCACAAAAACTGAGCAGAACAGTAAAAAGGGAGTCAAACACATAGGGTCGAATTCGCACTTAAAAGAATTATTTTGTATTTACAAAAGAGACGACTCGCTGAGACACTGCACAGGCCCGCTACAGGCTCCAGGAGCGCGTGCCCTTGTGCACTGGCGCCGCGCGATGAGTGCAGCCTTCTGCACGGCATTTATCTCCTACAAGTGTGCAGCACGACGCACCTTGGGGCACCCGACTCCGGGCTGGAGACGGGTGCGGAGCTGCGCAGCACTCCCCGCGCCTCCCTCCATTTCCTCTCCGGTCATGGTCGGTGGGAGGTTCTTTTTAGATATAAAAAGGGCTAGCTCATTTCAAATGAAGCCACATCCGGAGTGGCTTGTTTTGAAACTAAGCAGGTTACTGTTAAAAACATATACTTCCTCCGTCCGAAAATATAAGGCAGTCCCTGTAATTCTGTTGTCCGGAAATATAAGAATTAAGTGCGTGTATCCATTATTTATTTCAACTGAACCGAACTTAAGAACGACTTTGCTCTGTTGTACACCTCCTCAGTACAAGCTAGCGACGGCAGCAAAAGACCAGTGTCTGCTCTCAGCTTGTCCTTGGAAAGGTGTGGAATGTTGTATTTGTTGCAGCCGTCAACTCTCATCGATGCTTGTAGCACAGACTGAAGCGTTCGAAATACGCTGTCAAGTTTGGTATAGTGGAGCTCCTTGAATGCGCTGTCAACGTTGTTTACAAGGTCTTCAATAGTCTTTGCTCGCTTCTTGTACTGCAGTGACTGCAGTGAATTGAAAAATCCCAGGTCGTTGGCATTAAAGTCTGGTGAATTTGCAGGTTGTGGGCAGATCTTCATGTTCCAGTTCCCAAGGCTACATGCGGCGACCACTTCGGGGTCATCCGCCGCGACGTGCGGTTTTGCATTGTCGTGCTGTAGCACCACACGCTTGCCAGACGGCCATACTTCTTTAATGCGCGGGATGACCATCCGGCATAGTGCTTGATGGTAGATCTCACGGCCGACGCTATAAGTTTTAATCTCTAAGGTTCCAGCCGGTCTGTTCTTGCTAGCTCTCTCAGCGGGTTCGTAAACAGCAAACGGCCACAGACCGATTTTTCCATCCCAAATGCGAAGTCGTGTGGCATCCCAACGCGGACGTGTCACTGCACAAAGAAACATAACCTTGATAATGTAGTTCTTGTTCTTCACAGTAATGTGTGGCACATCTTCATTTTCCCCTAAATAAAACCGTTGTTTATCCTTCTTCAAGAAAAACCATTTTTCATCCAGATGTACGAAATCCATCATGCTGTTAAATGTAAGCCGTTCTCCAAACCCTCGATGTACAAACCCAGCCGCGAATTCAACACGTGCAGCTCGCTGTTTGTCGGTAAGTAGAGGTTTCACGTGTGCAGAATGGCTACGAAAAGCACCAGCCTGGTAGTAGTCGTGTAACGTAGACTTTGCAATACCGAGACTACTCGCCAAAGTACGAATGTCGGTTCTGTCTTCCAGGGGAATAAGTTCGATGGCCTCGTTGAGCTGGACGCGGAA